GGGGGGGGGGTGAATTCACAATTCTCACCTAGAAATGTACTGCATTTTTGTTTTATGACATCACTTTTCCTGCACTGTGGAGGCATGTTAAGCTCCTGATAAATTACCCTTTAACAGTGTGAGCAATGGGCAGGCTTAATTCGCGCATACTGAGCAATATTTTGGATTTGAACGAATCTAAAACTATACTCTAAAACACCCCCCTCTCCGGCACAACTGCACACATGTGAAGCTTAAAATCCCTATAGGCAGCTTAGTAAAATCTATATTATGTTTTAGATGTTACCTCTGATGACTCTTCGTTTTAGAAGACAAGAAAATATTAAGAGTTATAAACCTTATTCAGACGCACATATATATGTGGTATTCAAGCTGTTTTATATCTTTGAAAGCATGGGTACATTTTACTTCAGAAAAGTACTGTAAATGTATATATATATATATATATATATATATATATATATATATATATATATATATATATATATATATATATATATATATATATATATATATATATATATATATATATATATATATATATATATTAGTCAATTATCTTACTGATAAACTGCATTATTTGTATACATTTTTTGAAAGATTATTATACACAGCTGTTTTTCTTCATTTTGAAAACTTTGTAATTTCAGTATTAAAAAAATATAAATATGTGAATATAATATTTTTATGCTTTTTTTATAATAACAATTGGTCCGTTGATAAAACACATTGATAAAACACAGCTACTGAAAAACTATTACGCATTATTAAGGCCTGATTCCATGGCCGGGCGCTTTTCGGCGAAATGCGAAAAAATTTCGCTGAAAATGAATTAGGCGTGGCGAGAAAAAAATTCTCTTCGCCTGTAGGTAGAAGTCAGTTCTACTCACTGCGAAAGTGAATAAAGTGGCCAAATTCAATAGAATCGCTTATGCGCAGCCACCCATATTTCGCAGAGACAATTTCCCAGGAAGAATTTCGTTGTCGTTGAATCAGGCCTTTAAAGAGTTATATGAAATTTGCTCCATAGAGCATTTGAAACGTATTTTTGATGAGAAGCGAACGTGTGTGTGTTTGTTTCAATATAAGTGGGGGAATTTAAAGAAATGTTTTCTAATTTGGGGGATCAAAATATTGTAGCTGATTTACAACGAATCCTCCCCCCCCCGTAGTATACATAATGAACGCAGCCTAACAATTCAATAGGGAGTTTACGAAAGTAAGAGGGCAGCGTCAGGACTACGGCTAAACAAACTGCTTGAAATAAATGATTCTATGGAAATATTGTCTTTTATTTTTTTTCTTGCGGTCCGAAGTCATATTTTACGCTTTTCTGCAATCTGATTGGCTACGTGAGCGGTCCGTATGAGCCCGTACGGACCGCGCGAGATTTAAAGCCGTAGAGGCAATGTTTTTATTTTTCAAAATTTAAAGACGAGTTTAAAGGCTACTTTTTAAAACATTAAAATGTCTGCAGACGATGAAAAACACAGTGAAAACGAATTTTACTATCTCACAAAAGATATTTCTCTTCCCGATAGTATTGATAGAAACGACGTTTTATTTGGCAGCTTCATTCGCGTGAGGGAGGAGTGATTGGAGAAATCCAGAGGAGGAATTAAAAAAAATAAAAATATTATTTACCGGTATGGTCGGTCCGTATAGAGAAATATTTCTCTCGGTCTTAAAAACGTTCCTCGGCCTTCGGCCTCGGGCCGTTTTTAAGACCTCGAGAAATATTTCTCTATACGGACCTCCAATCCGGTAAATAACATATATGTATTTTCTTTTGTATGAATTTAAAATAGTTTCGAACGGGTAAAACAGAGCTCTAACCTTCAGAGCAATTTTAATGAACGCTGCTAGAAAAACTACCTGTCCCGGCGTGAAATGTTATGGTGCTATACAGGACGTGAAAGTATACATTTTGCCGTTGTCAACAATCTTGGACGACGTCTAAAACCCTGCTAAACGTTTAATTATCCATTTCTTTTGGGCTATATAGGATTAATGTCATTGTTTTGATAGCCGTTGTCCTCACGTCGTCTTCGTACATTTGTAAACTCCCTATTGATCCATTAAGTGGCCGTACTCTACCCTTGATAAGTAAAATCGTATTGCGTTAGACGGAGTAAAGTATTAAAGTAAGGCGTTTGAGGGTGCATTGTTGCCTAATGGTTATTATAAGTTAATCAATGAGAATCATATTATTAATAATACATACAATGCAAATCACCTTGCATTCACAACCAAGAAACATCTCTGCAGGTACATTATTTTTTAGCTAATTTCAATATGCCCGTTTTCACAATCTTGTTCACATCCCCAAGGATCCTTGCATGCACATGATGATTGCATATGGTGTCCTAATCCTGTTTTCCTTTCATTACAGCGACTATACTGTATATAGATTTTTGTTAATAAAAGTAAAGATTTTTGTTGCAAATAATATATCAAATATTATTACGGTAACAGCGGACGGTTCTAACCTCTCGATTCTAGAACAGCATCTCCATCATTCAAAATTGAGAATGAAATCACAATAAATCCAGTAATTTGCGTCATTCTGACACGCATCACCGCTCAATCTGATCTTATACTTCGTTGGAATATCCAAGCCATTCAGTCTGCATTTTTCCATCTAGAAAAATTATTTTATTTTAGTGTGCAAGAACCTTCCCTTGATAAGTTAGCCTGAAAACAGACCTACGTTTCGCCCACCCTAAAATTCGCGAGTCGACGAAGGGCGAAACGTAGCTTTGATGAAAATGTTGTCAAAACGCTGTGGAATCCGACCGCCTGGTGGTCGGAATAGCTGACTGGCTAATTCACAGGGAAATGGGTTGTGATTGGTTGTTCGCTAACATAAAAAGATTTGAAAAGATCAGAATATATTTCAACGGTAAATCAACGCATTATAATATGCATGCAGTGTGATATTCTAAATATTTTGTGATGTCGAATGACAATTAGTCTATCAGTATCTACCGTCTAAAATTAAAACTGGAGTGGAGTAGAGCAGTACGTGTCAAATACTTCACCGTTGTGCCTTTCCGTTGTAATATCTAATATACAATGCAATAATTTTTACACGATCTACGTTTGGTGATAATCATAATAAAACTGACGCGTTTATGATTTTAATACATTTCGATAACATAGCACGTACAAAATATTTTATTTAGATTTTAGCACTGTATGGCGGTTTCAAGATGTATAAATTGCAAGAGTTTGGATCAGGTAATTCAACAATGGGAAATGGCCATTGCCAAATTTGAGGAGGCAGATTTTATTGCGTTTATAGAATGTGTTGAACATGTCGTATTATGACTAAATACTATAGCGGTAACTGTTTGCTTACAATGGTTAAGAGTACATAAAAGCAACATGCTGCATGGGGTTACCAATATTTTTAATATTTATGCAAACATCTGTACTTATCGACTCTTACTATGTTTACAAACTTTCAATAAAGTAAATCGACAGCCGACAACTTTCATTGTATTTTTTGGTGTTACATGTAAATGTGTCAATCATCATCGTTAATTATTTGCAGAATGCAAAGTGGGCGGAAGGCGATTTTGACAACATTTCATCAGACCTACGTTTCGCCCTTTCCGTCGATCCGCGAATTTTAGGGCGGGCGAAACGTAGGTCTGTTTTCATGATCAGGGTATTGACAAGTATATAACCTTATCTGGTGTTTAATTAATATACAGAGAAAACATCAAGGTAGGAAACATTTGGGTGCATTGTGGCTCAACGGGTCAATCCATCATTGGATGTACTCAAGTTTTTGGATTTCGTTGCAGAGAGCATCATGTAAGTTGAGCTGTGCTCCTTCACATATCCCAGGAGTCCTCTTGATACATGTGAGTGCATTCAGTTTCTCTTTGCACTGTTTAATGAGATAGGACCATGATAAATTATCTCCAGCTTGGGTCATTGTGAATACGTGATAGGCAGCCTCGCCTATACAGAAGTGATTCATAATAAAAGGATTTCTTTTATCCCCCTTTTTCCATTTCCGGAAGTTCATTGTGCTTTTCATTCTGTGGAGAGGTTTGATATGCCGACGAGTAATTTGACCTATATTTTAATTTATCACTAAAAACTGCAAATTCCAGTGTTAGACCGAAGGTGCTTGCAAACCACAAGCTATCTTTCACATTTGCCTCAGTTCAGTAAGCCTTTCATTTTCCTCTGATACTTTCCGTTGATTTCTATTGCATGAGAGGATATGAAAGCGTTCGAAATTTCGGTATACGAGTGCTCAGACAATGTGCCACATCGCTTCAGATCATGTGAACTTCTCAAATGCTCACGCCCTTTCACGAATTAATCGCACTGCAACCGGTTTCAACGGAATACCATATTGGATATGGAAAGATTATGCCGAGACATGTCTCTTGCAAATCAGTATTGGCTAAACCGTTGCAAAGTTGCTAATATTAGCCCGCTTGCTAAAATTGACATCCGGACAGAATATCCTGACTTTAGAGGAATTAATGTGACCCCGGTTGTCGTAAGAACATTTGAAATAACATTATACCGAACACTTAATAAGAGTAACTTGGAGGGATATTTGAATGTTTCACAATTCGCATATCGAACGGATGCAGGTAGTTGTGTTAATGCCTTGTTAAAAATGCAGCATATTTTTCTTGCTGCTTTAGATAAAAATGATGCTACGGCAGTTAGAATGTTTACTATGGATTTCTCAAAAGCATTCGACAATGTGAAACATCACCTGGTTGAAAAATTGAAATATAATCCTTTTAACCCTTATATTATAAATTGGTACACGAGTTTCCTTGCGGATAGAAGACATCGAGTTATACAGGGTGTACCAAAAAAAGTATAGAAATTACCCTATTGTTATTACAGCACGGGATTTTATGCGACTAGTGATTACAAATTTAATTCAATTGTGTTTACGCACTCTTGTATTCAGCATAGTGCTCAAGCATTCAAATTATAACAATAGGACTAGTATAACAAAAAGTTAGTGAAATTGCTGCCCTACATGTATTCGCGTTGCGATTACATTACGTTTGACATGGAGGCCTGGTTACCAATCGCGTCTCAACGTCAGTGTTAAGCCTGTGTTTCACGAGGTGGGATTTTGCGCGCGGAGCGGAATTCTTCTTTGTCTTTTCTAATTAGTTCCACCCAAGAAATCACAAGACAAAGAAAAATTCCGCTCCGCACGCAAAATTTCGCCTAGTGGAAAACAGGCTTTAAGGCGGATTTCCAATCAGTGGAAAAAGTCGCTCGATCGATTTTTTGCGAATCACTTTCTTTTCAAATACAAGCAATCAAGCGCAACGGATGAGGTTGACTGCACGCATTTGAAAAGAAAGTGATCGCAAAAAGTCTATCGAGCGTGTTCCTCCACCGAATGGAAATCTGCCTTTACATGACCGTAATTCGTCATCAAAATTACGCCATGGTGCTAGTCAGTGCCAGGGCCGCCGAGAGGTTGGCGGGGGTCCGGGGCAAATATTTTTAGGGGCCCCTTTTTTGGGGGCCCCTATTTCAAAATTTGTGATACTCCACCAATAAAAAGTTATATATTTGGCTAGGTGATTGGCAGCCGATGGGTTATTATCCATACTAATAACAAGTAGGTTTAACTACTGACATGTAAGTTTAATAGATTGTTTGGCCAAGTAAAACAGTGAATGCACTGTTTTAAAGTTAATATATCATTTAATTCAAATGTCAATTGACAATTGTCAAACACTCAAAACCGTGTGGACAAACCAAATATTGTAAACAAACCAAATGTACCGTAAGCCCTGGGCTTATATAAGTTTGTAAGCATTTGTTGGGCTTATACATAGGGGGAGGGGGGTTATATACAGGTGCTCACATCAACATATTTAAATTGTCGAGAAAAGGACGTCTGATGCCTGATAGATCATTGCTTCTCACATTATAACTATTAAAATGTGCACCAATTCAGGCACGATATTGCATATTGCTCAATTGTTACCAAATGCAATATATTCTATCCGAATGGAAATATTCTATCACTGCGACTTCATCTATCAGCAGCAATAATAGAGGTCTGTAAAATTTCCAGTTTTATATATGATATACTGTAGCTCTGAGTCACGCGATACCTTCGTACAATGCCCCTCGTTTTTTTTATGGTAAAGAACACAATGGCTCTCGTTTGTTTCCCTTTCTTTATTTAGAATTGATGTAAATTTTATTTGAGTTGTCTGTTGCCACACCGTGACCAACACGCAAAGTGTCTGATCAATATATTGATCAGCGACAGCGTGAACACAATGATTCGCAACACCAAATATGCACTGTCAGGAGTGTCAGGTTTATACAATCAAACGCGGGCCTATATGTAAATAGAAGAACAAATCGTCAAATTGCCGAAAATTCTTCGTAAACTGAAAGGATCATAGATAATCTTTGATCTTATCTTAAATAAATAACTTTACAAGAAGATATAATTCTTAAAAATTGAAATATTTGCTAAACACTTGCCAAACTTGTAAGTTTCGTCCTCGTGCTAAATCTTGGCAAGTCTGCAAGTCCCGAAGAGCAGCCGGTAGCTTCCGTAAAGACCCGACAAATCTTCTACGTCACAAAACGTGATAAAGCTGAACATCCAAACATTATTGTTCAAATCCAAATCATTGTCGCATTCATATAGCTCGGCAAAGAGGTCTGGGAACAAATCAGAAGGATAGGAAGCTGCCTGCGGCAACAATAATTTCTAGAGAGGGTACTTGTTT